ACTTCAGGAAAATTTTTCATCACAAAAATGGAGAATACATTTTCAGATTTTTCCTGACACAGTAATTGGTGATGTAGACTCAGAGACGGCAATATAATAGCCATGATGGACGATGAGCGTGTTTGTAGCCACTATTATGTCGACAACGCGTTTAAACTGCTCCCACACTTGCCGAACTGAGCATTGACGGGATATTTCGTCGTATGATATACTGTTTGATTAATTGTCGTGATCAAAAGTTGTTCTACAGTTTCGCCACCTTTGTTTATTCCCGAAGTGGTGAATATATAATCCCGAATTAATGCGAATATATCTTTTATATGTTCTTTTAAGCAGGTTTCATTGAAGACCAAAAAATTTGTTTTATTAACAATTTTCTTATTAGTTTTTTTCAACATATCGAACAATATTTTTCATTTGCACTGGTAAATCGAAAATTAGGGTACCGATGGACATTTTTATTTCGTTAACGAGGTTTCGAATGTTTCCAATCATTCATTATCAAGTTAAAAGACGCATTGAGTGATAAAATTTGGATCGACATAAGTACCAAATCATGTAAATAAGGTACTTTTATATGTATATATTATCTTATTTTATAGCAAGCCTCTTATGGGTCTAGCTAATCTCGGACGAATGCTCATTAATAGTGCAGTATTGATAATTAAAGATGTGTGGCATTATAGTTGTAGTTTATAAGGCAGAGTGTGCCGTGAAGATACGAATACGACCTTTAGATACGAATAACATTGAAATCGTTCAGCTATCTTTAAGTAATTGAGCCTTCGTAGTTTTCAAGTTTCCCGATGGTTACTTTCTTTACTTGACCTTTAGATACGAATATAGTATCGAATGTGTGGCATTAGTTGTTTATAAAGCCGAGTGTGCCGTGGGCACGAGCGTGGGAGAGAGTACGCGGCATACACACATGGCTGTCAACTAGCTCAGGTGTCGCCCACTACACGCATTGTACGTAGGGGCGTATATAGCAGACCTATTCTTCTTGTTACTTGGTGCCTTGTTGTTGCTGCTTCATTCGCTTGTTGTTGCTGCTTCATTCGCTTGTTGTTGCTGCTTCATTCGCTTGTTGTTGCTGCTTCATTCGCTTGTTGTTGCTGCTTCATTCGCTTGTTGGCGGCCATGAGATGGATCTTTACCTAAACAGATGTGATTTAGAAGAGGGTTAGTAAGTTAACGTATCGTCGTTTCTTGACGATTACTCTATTTACTTGACCTTTTGATACGAATAACATCGAAATCGTTCATCTATCTTTAAATAATTATGCCTTTGTAGTTTTCAAGTTAAACCTTCGTTTCCTGGCGGTTACTCTCTTTACCTGATATTTATATACGAATATCGAAATCGTTCAGTTATCTTTAAATAATTGAGCCTTCTTAGTTTTCAAGTTAACCCTTCGTTTCCCGATGGTTACTTTCTTTACTTGACCTTTAGATACGAATAATATCGAATCGAAACTTTCGAATCGAAACTTTATCGAAAACTTTCATTAATTTTACATGAAGAATTGATGAGCACGTTAGGTACTGCAGAGGACAAGTCATCTAAGTATGATTATTCAAATTCATGTTCCTGACTCGCTTGCCAATTAATTAATAGTAAATGCTTGGTCCATGTGACCCTACTAGGCATTACGATACAATAAACGGGGTTGAACACACGAAAAGTACTTTTTTGCTGTAATTAATACGATCAAAGTTCGAAATTCGAATGCTGATAAATTTTTGGGATACAGAATGAGCGATGAAATCGTTCAATAATCGTTCAAGGATGAAACAAAACTACGAAAAATCACCTACTATAATAACTATTATTTGACCGCCATTATTAAATTTGTAAGGGCATATAATGATGTTATATTATAACAGGGGTACAGGGTATCATCCGCATCGCAACACTTTTGGATTAAAGTACTCTATTAAAAATTAATCATAAACCGATTTTCCATGTACAACAAAATAAAATTCTGTAACGTTTAAAACAGAAGTTTAATGAACTTCTGAATAATTTTTTCACATAATTCTAGTACGGTACCAAAGTTATAACGTTTGCATGGGTAGTCGGTATACAATAAACTTACTTAATATTTTTTTCCTAATTTTGAAAGTTATCTTGCCGCTGTTTCATGATTATGCTAATTTATTTTTATACTCAAATGTTGTACAACTGTCTACGCTTTCATTGCAGTTTAAGATTTTTCATCCGTGGGTTGAGGCAGCGCTTATGTATTTGTTCCAGATGTATTTGTTCCACTTATATATTATGTATTTATATGTATTTATATGTATTATGTATTTTTATATGTATTTATATGCGCTTATGTATTTGTTCCACTTCGTAAACCAGTTGTTCATTATTCATTGCGGTTATTATTATTATTTAAGCAGTTATTTATTGTGTTCAAAGAATCTTAACACATGACGTATTCAATGTTGCCAAATTAAACCTTTTAATCGCTCTTTTTCTAAGTAACAGCTAGCAGAATTTCACTAACATTATATAAAGTAATGTCCGAGTCGTTTAAGAGATCGATAACTTGGCTAATTTTCAGCCCATAATTGATACGAAATGCTCGAGACGCATCAATTGCTTCAATTGTTCGGCTGCAACATGCCATATCAACAGCCTAATAGGGTGATCACCTGATGATAGCCCAGCAGATGTTTTAATTGCCAATGCTTCACCTAGTCCAAGATCTTGACCTTGTGTTAGCTGGTGCACAGATGGCGACCTTCGTGCGTGGGACGAGAAAGTTTCTCCTGGTCTAACTCCACAGCTGGTCTCTCCTTCTCCAGCTCTAGTGCCCTCTTCTATGCTCATTTACTAGCCCAAGCGCCCTCTTCTAGCAGCTCCCTCTCTAGCTCTAGCACCATCTTCTGGCTCCTTTTCTAGCTCCCTCTCTAGCTCTAGCACCATCTTCTAGCTTCTTTTCTAGGTCCATCTATAGCTCTAGCGCCCTCTTTTAGCTCCCTTGCTAGCTCTAGCGCCATCTTAATTTAGCTCCCTCTCTAGCTCTAGCGCCCTCGTCTAGCTCCCTCGCTAGCTCTAGCGCCACTTTCAGCTCTTAAAGCTAGTTACATCATTTATTTCTAGACAGTCATGCAGTCTGCTATCGGTGTTGTAAACATAAGTAACATGGCTTAGTCTCTAAATTGATTAAATGAATGTGTAATTCAAAGGTGCGTGCACTCCAAGGTTAAGAGAAGAGGTTTAAAAAATATAACTTAGTACTCGCTGCAGTGAGTGACAGAGAGCGCATTTTCTCAAAATTGACGAAAACGTGAAATCACAGACAGACAGACGGACGGACATGACGAGCAAAAAAGCGACTTTTTTCCAGAAATGAGAAAATGCGCTAAAAATAGCTCCTGTTCACATAGTGATATAAATAAAACTTCGATTTAATGATGCCCATCCTTAAAACGGTTCTCGAAAACTTGTGCAAAATAATGTCAATGGCCGGCTTATCTGCCCCCTTCACTGCGTATTTGCTTCTCGATATTTTGACCAGGGGGTAAAACATTACGTTTTTTTCGATATCATACATTTTGCCAAAATTACGAATAGTTTTGCATCACTCTCTAATTCAGAGTACAATATTCGTGATAATCTTAGTTGCGTTTATGTTCTGCTACCTCCCGAGAGTTTCCTGTACTACACACAACTGTATAAACGTTGTTTATATTGCTCATAAATTATCCTGCTTCAAATTGAAGAAGGATATTGTTGCACCATGTAACTACGTTGCCCTTTAAAGGAATGGCATATATGCCTGTTTTGTTACACTGCATATAATGTCAGCAAATATTTATAGAATTTGTTTGTAAAACATAGATTTATTAACCTATAAAAGTAACTGCCAAAGCAAATTACCCAGACTCGCAGATGGCAGACGCTTGCTATCGCTTCTAGTGCCCTCTGAACAGCTCTCTGTCTCTTGAGCTAATGGTTGGGCACTGCCTGCTCTATCAGTCTCTCTCGTGCTACTCTCCATCTTCTATGTCAAACCTTTGCCATGTAGTTTGATCCAATCGTTTTTTAATAAATAGTATTAAAAATAGTATTCATGTTTTGTTAGCCAGCTTTCAGTGAGTTAGTTCAAACACCTGTTAATCCTCCAAATGCTTTACATTTATTTGACTGACAGTTCGGTTGGGCAGGAAAGGATTCTGCCGGGTGTACCTCAGACATGCAATTGAGGAGCCGTACTTTACGTTGAGTGTTGGTCAAAGCCGTGATAGAAAGTTCAAGTTTCTTGGTTTGCTTCAGCAATACTTGCCCTTGCTCAACATCAGCTGATTGGTCTGAACGAGGCATTATCGTGACTTTTTCGGAGCTCTCTCAGATCTGTTACACCTTCCCATAAGCAGAGAGCTACCGTAGTGTACGTAAAAGTGATGAAATATATCATATTCATAAGGTTTGCGCCTTTTTTACTACGAAGTTCCGGGAATTTCAAGCGCCCGACAAAATGTAGATTAAATTAGCTGTCGAAATGATAAGCTATTTCAAACTGCAAAACTGGCAAAGTTTCTTTTAAACTGGCAAAGTTGGTACTGACTCGTTGTGGTTGCATATGACAGCGTATGTACATATCGACGCACTCACTTGACTTGCGCAACCTTCGTCGGTACTGTTTGACCAATATGTTTACGCAGTTGTTAAGTCTTTAATTTGTAAGTGTATAATATTATTCTGATCTTCTTTGGTACCATTCTGTTTAGAAAATGCAACTTTGGAACACGCATTTTTTTCTTAAGTAAATGTTTTATGAATAATTATTTCAAAGCAAATTGTTTCAGACATATTTAATTTTTTCTCATGTAAGACAAGTAAAATATACATGTCACTTCCACAATACGGATGACTGTTGTTTACAGAAGACGAGGTGATAAACTGTTTGAACCACTCCTTGTGGTGGCCAGAGAGAACATAGCATCCTGTTAGCAATTAACTTATAATTACTGTTTGGCGTTTGCAGACGATGTGGCGATGGACTGGTCGGACCACGCACTGTGGTGGCCGGAGAAGAATTCGTGGCTGACGCACACGCGCTCTACGCTGGACCAGTGTGGGGTGACCGCTTCAGCTGAGCTCGAATTCACGCCCATGCACAAGATTCTCAGGGTGCAGCTGCCTGACCTCAGAGAGATGGACTTTAAAGTAGACTTTAGTATGAAAACTTTTAACACTGTTGTCGACCTCTGCAAACAAATGGGTGGGTTTTACACTTGCAATATCATAATTTGGCCTATGTTTAAATCATTTGTGTGCTGTGTTTCAGTGTACATAAGTTATAAAATGATTTTTATTGTTTAGTTTTCCCCTTAAAATTTAATGATAATGATACTGATCTATTGCTAGTTGCCAAAGAATAATATAATAATCATAGCAGAAGTACTGAAGTACTAATTTCACGCAGGTATCCGACATCCCGAAGAGCTATCGTTCTGCAAGCCAATCACCGCCGACGACCTGAAGTACAACTACGCCGAGAGACAGCTCAAGAAACAGCAGCAGGCCAAAGTTCCCAATGGACAGGTGGGCACATAATGAATTTTGATACAACCTAATGATCGTTACATTATTGTGGCATCATGATAGAGGGACTGCCTGGTTACGTCATGATAGAGGGACTGCCTGGTTACGTCATGATAGAGGGACTGGCCTGGTTGCGTCATGATAGAGGGACTGGCCTTGTTACGTCATGATAGAGGGACTGGCCTGGTTACGTCATGATAGAGGGACTGGTCTGGTTACGTCATGATAGAGGGACTGGTCTGGTTACGTCATAATAGAGGGACTGGTCTGGTTACGTCATGATAGAGGGACTGCCTGGTTACGTCACTGTCAAAGGGTGTGGCACTTTCGTGCTGTAATTCATTTCTTTATTTCTTGCATTTTAAGCATTCAGATGTTCTCATCACTTTAAGTGACTTTTTCTCAAAATGATTTTGATTCCAATATTGTTACTGTCACTCCGTTAATATTTCTACTGACGTTTGCTCAGCTGCCCCCGGACACCAACACATTCGTGGCCAACAAGAGCATCAGCAGCAACAAGAGCCACAACGTCAGCAACGGCTCCTTGGAACGATCCACTCACTCTGCTGGCACTCCCGTCAGTCATTTGCACTAACATTAATAACATTATTAATGTTATTATTATTATATTGTTATTAATGTTATAACATTATTAATGTTATTACAGCCTAACATTATTAATATTTTATGCGGTTTGGATGCTAGAAGAATGTATATCTATACACATTTCAGAATAATAGCTAAAATGCATTTGCAATTACATTGGTGTGATTAACAGCGTTTAACTAATAGTGAAGCTAATAGCGTAAATCAATTGCGTAATTATTAATAGCGATAAAGTGCATTAAAGTCACTTCCTATGATCTTTCATGAGTTCAGCAGTTTCAATTGTTAGGTTCTGTGTGCTTGCTATTATTATAAAAGAAGGGTAGGCGTCTCCTTTGATGCATTGTTTGACGTTAATTACAGAATGGTGTCATTTTTCAATTTTGATCGCCGTTCTAGAATTAAATTTATGCGTGACTTTATCTTTCTGTGAATTTTGATATCCTGCGTAGTCGTTTAGAACGTCCTTATTAGTTCAGCAATTTAAAGTCTTAGTTTTATTTCCACTTGATTAATAATAAAAAATTAAAATAGGAAACTACGTTAGTGCACTTTTAAACTTCGATTCTTGTCTTCGAATGTTTCTTGTCCTGATGGCTCCTTCATGTATCATGCCTATCTGTTTAGAACGATTCTTGTCATGATAGCTCATTCATCTATGATCCTAATATTTAGAAAGATTCTTATCCTGATTCTTCCGAAAGATTCTTGTCCTGATTCTTCCGAAAGATTCTTGTCCTGATTCTTTTGAAAGATTCTTATCTCCTTGATGTATGATGCCTACAGTCAGGAACATGGCGGCACCCGAACAGCTCCATGAACAGCTCCCTGGATCAGTCCTTCACCAAGACCGTGAACGTTGCTAACGCCGACAGCCTCGACGCGAGTGACAAGCTTAACGCCTCCCTCAGCAACTCCCTCTTGTCGCCTGAGGGAGCTCGTGCTAAATTACCCAGACCTAAGTCGCTTCTTGAGAAGGCCAGGATGAACGTGGGGTTAGTTCATGCAATGTTCATACTGTTTTATGATAAGTTTTGCTGTTGTTTTAAACCTTGTAAAGATTCCAGTTGTGTATATATTGTGTATATAGATTCCTGTGTATAAAGATTCCAGTTGTGTATTTCCAGTATATACTGTCAGTTGTATTAGTACGTATTGCACATAACGACAAATGTTACCACTTTTCAAAAGTGCGTTTATTGATGTTTCGTGTTTGAAGACGTTGGCCTTCATCTCTCGTTTTTTCACTATGTTTGTGTGTATCACTGCTTTCTCATTCAAGCATTCATAATCTGTTTAGGTGGTTGGACTCATCTCTATCGATCATGGAGCAAGGAGTGAAGGAAGGCCATACGCTGATGCTGCGTTTTAAGTTCTATGCTTTCTACGACCTCAACCCAAAATATGACGCTGCTCGCATCAACCTCATCTACAACCAGGCCCGCTACCAGATCCTCAATGAAGAGATTGACTGCACTGAAGAGGAGATGCTCATGTTCGCTGCTCTTCAGGTAAGAAATGACGCATATGTTCGCTGCTCTTCAGGTAAGAGGAGATGCTCATGTTCGCTGCTCTTCAGGTAAGAAGAGATGCTCATGTTCGCTGCTCTTCAGGTAAGAGGAGATGCTCATGTTCGCTGCTCTTCAGGTAAGAAGTGACGCTCATGTTCGCTGCTCTTCAGGTAAGAAGTGACGCTCATGTTCGCTGCTCTTTGTTAACTACCTGCCGTGCCGTTTTCTTTTGTTATCATGTCTTGTCTCCTACTAATCTATCGGCACTTGTCTTCGTCAATCTTAGTATTGTGCGTCTTGAGTGTCTTGGCTCTTATTTATATTCATAGTTGTGTTAGAGGATCAAGAGGGCTAAAAATTCCAATAACTACTAGAATGTTTAGTTTGTAATTCCGTCCGCAAGTTTACTCTCACTTTGTTTGGCTATTATATCATTTATTAATTAGGAGCAATCTCCTTCCTCTCGCAGTCTTCGTTTAATACTGACTGTGTAGTTGTACATTCTTCCGTGGATTTTCTCTTATTGTACTCTATGCTTCACTTTTTTTAAACACCGCGCTTTTCTTTGTCTCTGAGCATTAAAATTTTATTTCAGTACCAAATAAAGCTGCAGGCGAAACAGCCGCAGACGAAGCAACAGATGAGCGCTGACGACGACATCGAGCGCGCACTCAACGACCTGCAAGTGAGCCTGGAAGGTGGCAACCACATCACCCCCAACATCCCCACCAGCTCCGACATCCTGCACGTACCTGAGCTCAAAGGATTCATCAAGTTCATGAAGTGAGACTCGCTTAGCTGTACAGAATAACTATTTAACTGAGTTTTATTTTCTGTCAACGCATACCTAACCTTACGATGGATGATTCTATGGACGCTTTCTTCTTGTCAATAAATTTTAAAGGTATAGTTCTTGATAATTTTACGAAGGTTTTTTTTTGAAATCATAATTAGGTTTGCATCTGGGTGGCACTATAATCAGTATAAAGTAAAAAAATTCATGACTTCTAAAATGTGTTCTTTTGTTGAATTTCTGCGCGTTTGAGGTAAAGTTTCCTAGTGAGATAGAATAATGCCAAATTCTGATTAGGTACTTTCGCTAATTCCTTTTCTATCAATTGATGTTTTAATCAATATATTTAGGGTATCAACTTTTAATTTTTTCTTGACTACACTGCATTTGGGGCACTGAAAGAACTAAAATAAAGACGGGAGAACTTTATACGCATTGCAACCAATTTATCAAAGGAATCGGTTGAACAGATGTTTCATGGTTGTTGCAGACCACGACGGTTCACATGCTTCTGTTTCACTAACAATTCCCATTTGTTGCAGACCACGAAGGTTCACATGCGCCCTGTTTCACTTACAATTCCCGTTTATTGCAGACCACGACGGTTCACACTGCGCAGTTTCAAGGAGCAGTATTTCGTATGCCGCGACCTGCGCCTCTCCTACTACCGTAACAATGAAGAGGTTGACCCCGTGGAAGTGATAGACTTGCCCAGCTGCGTGGCCACTCCGGACGTGCATATCTCCACCGGCCGCTTCGGTATCAGGCTTGAGGTGCCGTCTGCCCAGCACGGCGTCACGGAATACCTGCTGCGCTTCAGCGATGTGAGTTGCTGGGCCGTGGGTAACTTCCCTAACAAACATAGAGGCCGGTCACCGGTGTGACTCTGCATTAGGTGCCGCCTAGGGCTCGGGGAGCACGTAAATTAGCTTCGCTAGGTTTGAATGGCTGCCGCTCAGGGTTTGAATGACAATCTCTGGGCAGCTTGCTAGCTTAATTGTTGTGACTCTGCTCGGCCAACCCTTCGCCTACTCTCAGGCGACTATAAAGTTGGAAATGGCATTCTAACCAGAAACTAATTTCGATCGGGTGGCCCAGCAGACCCAGAATAACTTTGCGCCGAGTGTAGTGACTATTCGGCCGAAGCCTAGGTGGTCCCCGAATCTTGTTAGGGTAAGTGGCTCCAGCGTGACCTGGGACTGCTACGTCCGAAACGCATACTAAAAATGGGGATGATTTGCTGATGTCAGTGTACCTCGAGTAATTTGATGTTGAAAAACCCTGATTATTCTAATATAAAATGCTTAATACATTTTAGATACAAATTGCCTCTATTATACAAGATATTTCGAGGCTGACACATGACGCAAGAGGTTGGTCCATCGTGTTTAAAATGTTGTATTTATTGTTAATAAAATCTGTTTTATCTGGAAACTGAGCCTTTCTTAACGAAATAATGGGGTTGAAAGTCATTGAATTTATTCCAAATAAAATTTATTTCATTTTATTATTTATTTAGTTTCCTCATACCAGGTATAGTGCCTCATACCAGGTATAGTGCCTCACACCAGGTATAGTGCCTCATACCAGGTATAGTGCCTCATACCAGGTATAGTGAATCATACCAGGTATTGTGGTGAACAAGAAACATTCTTCTTGACATTCTCTGTTGGGTTTTTTAAGTTGACCTGTAAGATACATCGTGGATACCATCCTCCCACATGACGTCGTTGACGCTCCTAGTATGAATGAGTTCAAAAACAGACTATAAAACAAGGTTATGAAGTCGGTCGAATATGTCCAGTTTTGAAATACCTAGCACCTTACGGACCTGAAAAAAGTCCAGTAGATATTTCAAACCAACATCGGTTTTGAAAGATCTGGTCTAAGGGCCGGTTTTTAGATAAGTATACTAAAAACAAGTCGCGAACTGTGCAAGAATTGGCAACAGACCATGGGCCTATTTCTTCAGCGCTGACGCAATTATACTACTATATAATAATATTAAAATACATAAGATAATGAATAAAATCCCGTGGTAGGTAATAAAATTAGAAACAAACTGTTTTTTTAAAAATCCCTTCTTTACAACCATGGCACACTTCCACAGCCGACACAACTATACTGCTATATTATAATATTAACATTCATAGGACAACGAAGAAAATCCTGTGCTAGGTCATAAAATTAGAAATGAAATGTTTTTTTTTTAAATCCCTTGTTTACCACCATGACTCACTTCCAGGCTGAGGTGCGCGGCATCCAGGCCTTCCTGTCCCTGCAGCAACCCAGGGCGCCCGCCGTCATGTCGCCCGAGCAGCACCTCGCTGACATCAACGTCGAGGAATTCGTCAGTCCGCGCTTCTCGAGGAAAATTCGGGGCAAGGTGTGTGCAGGAACTGCATGAGTTTTCATTTTAGAATATACAGATAAGATATAGGTATAATGTCATATTTTTGTGAGTCACTCCGCGCTTCTCAAGGAAAATTCGGGGCAATGTGTGTGCAGGCTCTGCATGAGTTTTCATTTAAGAATATACAGATAACATGTATAATATTGTCATTTTTTCTGAGTCAGTCGCGCTTCTCAAGGAAAATTCGGGGCAAGGTATGTGCAGGTTCTGCTCTCTCTTCATGAGATTTCATTTTAGAATATACAGATAACATACGTATATAATAAGTCATTTTTTGGTGAGTTAGTGTGTGCTTCTCAAGGAAAATTCGGAGCAAGGTGTGTGAACCTGCAGGATCTATATAATTTTTAATTTTAGTGTTCATGCATTTAATTTCAGTTAAGAAGTGACGCTGTTGTTCTGTAACCATTTATTTAAATGCACATTTTTGCCAACCAGCGCTTCTCCAGGAAAATCCAGGCTTGAAGCTCTGCATAAGCTTTAATTAAAAATGTCTAGAAACGTAAAATTGTGTTATGATGTTATTTGGTAACATGTAAATTCTACGTTTGTAATTATTAATAGGGCAATTTTGTCTGTACATTTCATTGTATTGGCCGGAATTTTGTCCGGACAATTTCATTGGTTCATTTTACAATATTTTTTACATTGAGAGTAAATGAAGGCTGTAATTTTTCAGCTGATTGTTAGACAATACAACAGGAGAAACATTGGCCTATGTTCTATGATTCTTCCTGTGTTCATCGTTACAAGTCTTCTTGATTTGTGCTTCTTGATTTTTTTTCTGCAAGCATCCGCTTACTGAAAGAATACGAAATGCAACTTCGCGTTCTTCGCCTGGATCAACTTTAGTCTATTTTCAAATGAATCTCTTCACTCAAATGCTGACAATTATCTCCACTTGATCCATAGATCTGTTGGTTGATTTCATATCATTTCATATCCGTTATCTTTGCTACAACAAAAATCTTGTAACTTTGTTTGTTGAATTCTTTACTCGGCCGTGCGTTTCATTGATGAAGTCATTGTTTTTCTTCAATTAAAAATTATGCCCAAAATTATTCACCATTATTTGGCGTGTGTCATCGATCACAGTCCTTAGATTCGTCTAAAAAATTCAAGCATTAAGCTTTGAATTCTTTTATTATAGTGCTGTTATTCTAAATTCATTAATTCACTTCCTCCTCATCTTACACACATTACTCTAAAAATTCAATAATTTAGTATTGAATAGGTAGTTTCATTTACGTGTTAATCTTATCAAGTCTTTTATTCGCACACATCTCATTTTGCCCTGTTTTACTGTATGGATATATTCCGCCGAGGATATAGTTCAAAACTGAGCTTTTTGTGAATGATAATCGTCATCGCTCGTTTATTTTTCGCTCATTCATTTTCTGCACGTTTTTTCACAAACTGTTATTATTCTTCGAAACTTGGTTAATTTGAAGCTTTGCATTACTCGTTTTCTCTGTTTCTTTCTCACTCTCTGTATCGATGTCGACTTGTTTCTACTTGAGCTGCAACTCTATGTAGCTGTGTCCTCTGGTCGAAGAAAATGTCCAGCAAGCATATATATAAATATATTTGTAGGTTGGTCATTCCAAAATGAAAACGCGCAAAAATTAATCAGTGTTATGAGCGTAATCAATTCTTGAGTGAAACGGAACCATGAATGTTGAGGCAGTCCGAGGCACTCAATCATTTTTAAAAGCGTTTTATTTATTCTCGCTTAACCTTCATAACCTCATTTAACCTTCATAGTAGCTCAAAACACCTTCAAATTTATTCTCGCATTCTCAGTCTGCATATGGAAACTTTCATTTCTTGCTTCACTTTCTATTCACGAACTCGTTCTAGAGTAAATATTATATCCTGATGTCTCTCGCTTGACTGAAGTTGACTGAAGACCTCACTTAACCTTCATAGCTCCAAACACCTTCAAATTTATTCTCGTATTCCCAGTCCGCAAATAAAAACTTTCATTTCTTGCTTCACTTTCTATTCATGAAACCCGTTCTATAGTAAATATTATTTCCTGATGTCTCTCGCTTGACTGAAGTTCTCTTCTCTATCGGCGTGCCTTAGGGCGGCTGGTGCGCTGGCGCTCCTTCTGAACCTCTGGTAACGGGCGTGCCCCGTGAGATTTGCCGATTACGTTCTTCCTAAATATTCTGTTTATTTGCTGGCAAGAACTGATGTCTACTCGGGGTGCATAAGATGTCTTGGGTTCTTTTTTGTTTTCATCAATTTACTCGCCTTAGTGTAATTGGTAGTTGGTAAATTGCCCCTGTGTATTTGAATTGCCTTTCTGTAGTTGGTAAATTACCTCTGTGGATTATTTGGTAAAATTACCTTTCTGTAGTTGGTAAATTGCCCTTGTGTATTTGGTCAAATTGCCTTTCTGTAATTTTTAAAATTCCTTTCGTGTGCTTGATAAAATTTCCAAAAATGTTCATCTGGATAATTTTTCGGTCACAATAACCAAGTTTACCGAACTTTTCCGTTTTTATCAATTATAATTTGTGTTTTTCATTGATTTTGTATGAAAATAAGCCAGCTAAATTGGTAGCCAATTAATGCTAATTGGTAGCCAACGCACGATGTTTCACCTTGCCTGCTGAAGGGATATTTTCCGGCCTGTAATTTTTCAGTGTTTGAATTTAATCTAGAGCGAGTTTACGATTTCTTGGTTATTGCTTCATTTTCGTTCATGTGAGGCTTGAATACGAACTTCATAAGGCAATACTGACCATGTTGCTCATGTTAGCAGATTAATTTGAGGCTTAAATACGAACGTTATAAAGCTATACTAACCATGTTGCTCTTGTTTGCAGGTTAATTTGAGGCTTAGGTAGGAACTTTATATAATAATACCTACTAACCATGTTGCTCTATTTTTTAGGTTAATTAGAGGCTTAAAAACGAACTTCATTTATCAATACTAATCATATTGTTCTTGTTAGCAGGTTAATTCGAGGTTTAAATACCGATCTATACTAACCATGCCATGTTGCTCTCGTTCGCAGGGCTCTACGCGTATCTTGGAGGCTCACGGCAACTTCAAAGACCTGGGGCTGATGGAGGCCAAGTTGCAGTTCATCCGATGTTGGCAGGCGCTGCCTGACTTCGGCGTCACTCTGTTCCTGGTCAAGCACATGGGGCACAAGAAGGAGGAGCTACTCGGTGTCGCCTTCAACAGGATCATGAAGATGGATCTCGCTACCAGCGACCACCTTAAGACCATACGTTACAACACCATCAAAGTTTGTACACTGCAATTATTTTATTTGGTTTAAAAGTATTTCGACCAGGCTTTTTCTATCAAAACTCAACAATGGATGATGAACTAAAAATGTCTCCTTTTCCAATCATTACAAGACCATCAAAGTTTATGGACTGCAATCAATTTATTAGGTATAAATTTTCTCGACCAGGCTTTTTCTATCAAAACCCAAAAATGGATGATGAACTAAAAATGTCTCCTTTTCCAATCATTACAACACCATCAAAGTTTGTGGACTGATTTTCTTTTGTATTAAAAGTTTCTCGACGAGGCTTTTTTCAATAAAATTCCAACAGTGACTAATGAACTAAAAATTTCAACATTTTCAAGCATGGATGAGTTTGAAATCAAAACCCCAATGTCCATTCAAGATCATCTTCAGAAACACTTTGCTCTTGACTAGTAAATTGAAGCAAAATGAACTCTCTATCTGATGATTTATGCTAGAAAGTTATTACTTCATACTACTTCTAACTCTTTACATCAACATAAATAATGTGAATCGATTTTGTTTTGGTAACAGATGTGCCAGTCGTATCATTGAAATGTCAAGAAAAATTTAGAATTATTAGTTTTCTAGACTCTGAAATGACTGGCTCTCATATTTATTATAAGTTGATTTTAATTGCGACAATATTAAAAAATACTACGTAAAGTTTTTTTTTTTTTTTTTGTATGAAAGTTCTGATGAATCATTTCAACTCAGGCCTGGAATGTGAATTGGGGCACCAAGCACATGATGATCCAGACCGAGTCCGAGAGCCTGACCTTCTCCTGCCTCACTGCCGAGTGCAAGGTGAGTGAGTGTGAAATTATGAAAGTTCATCTGGTGATATACGTGATCATTTTATAGCATTCCTTAACAAAGGAGAAATTAAAACCGTACGAGGTGAGCAGGTCCCAAGTTCATCCAGTAAGACTTCAAATTTAAGTGATCATTAAAACAGACTAAACAATTATTAACTTAACACACAGGGCAGGGCTCATATATGTAGTTAACTAGTGAGCCTGATTAGTGAACTTGTGAACCTAATTAGTGAACTTGTGAGCCTGATTGGTGAACTTTTGAGCCTGATTGGTGAATTTGTGTGCAGGTGGTGCACGAGTTCATCGGCGGCTACATCTTCCTGTCGATGCGCACCAAAGACGCCAACCAAACTTTGGACGACGAACTCTTCCACAAACTGACGGGCGGCTGGGCCTGAGCCCACAGCTGTCCACCATCTTTTATTTTAAAACCTCAAATGTTTGAGCCGAAAAGTTCTTCCTCTTATTCATAAGTACGTTCGTGCCTGAAATTGGAATGGATTCCCAAACACTGATACGCGTACTCAGATTTAAATTCCATTCAATTTTATGGGCAAACTCCGGTTAAATTATCTACTAAAACTTATTATTAATCAATTTTTATTTTTTTTTATTTCTGCTCATTTGTTGTATTCGGAAAACTTACGGTCATTTATTTTGTGTTAAATATTTCTGTGTTCTGCTCAGAACTAAAATTTGAGTGTGGATACTGTTTGATTCTGAATATGCAGCGAAAAGATCATTACATGTGAAATATATTATTTTGCTTCGGTCACAATTTATTAGCAACTCTTGAAATGCTTAAAAATATTTGTGCGTTTTAATAATCGAACTGTGAGCTTTTGTAAATGCGCTTTATAGGCTAAGGTAAGAGTAATTAAAACGACAAAGTGAAGCCATTCGTTTGCGTGGTTTAATAATATAGTTATAACATTGGTTTCTTGTTTTTGAAAGTCTACTCAAATCCTTAAATGCTCTGCAAATTTTGCGAGCTGCTCAGTGTCCTTGTGGCAAATTTATTTATGAACACTTGACTTCTATTAAGGCTGAAATATGAATTAATGCTTACTTCTGTTTACCCACAATACAATTCTGTACGCTTTTACAATTCAGGTTTCAGAATCGTGCGCCTAAACGAAACAAGAAGTCGTACTTTAATGTTAAATTTTATGAGAATTTAATATGTATTAAGGTTTTCAATAGTGTCGTCCTAAAACGTACCGTACTGCCTTTGCATCAGTGCCTCAATGTTCGTGCCAACATTTCAATTCTTCACGACTCGTGCTACTTCCATTTTAGGGGTACTTTTAGAATGATGTTTATAAAATATTTACCGTAGCCTGTCCAACAATCCTGATTCATCTTTCGGATGCTCAGTTTTTTGTGTTCTGGTCTCCACTTTGATAGCAGTCAGAATAATCCTGGAGACCGTAGTGAACGACTCTCTACAGTTGTTGGATCTTCATCCTTGTAAAATCTATTTAAATGATATTCCGATGGGTGAAAAGTTGTAGCAAATATTGCATGTGCAATTTTCGTACTCTAAAAATCATGCCATTAAATGTTATGCCTGTGCCTCTGATTAGTCACTTCAAATGAATAGCTTGTAAAACCGCAGTCGTTTGTTTATTATTTTAATCTCGTGCTAATTTGATGAATTTTCGTACGTCATGCGAGTGTGGGTTCCAAGTACTCTTTTTAGCCCAATTCGACGTTCATGCACTCAAAACCGTGCTGGTATTTGTAGTTGTGTAAATAATGTAAATAACATACAGAAGTGCTTCTTTTATCTGCTATTTGCTTGTTGTTGATTCTAACATTGGCCATTATTCGTATTGCATATATTTTCACGATCCAAATAATGTTTGTTTGGAATTTGTTTTCTTGCTCATCTTCTTCATCGCGGTTGTTCTGTTCTACCTTTAATTGTATTAATAAATTTTTTGTATACAATAATTCTCGATCTACATTCTAGGTAGACAACAATACAAACACAAAAAGGGATGTATCATTTGCCACCAATTTTTTCAACTTATATTGATGTGCAATTAATCTTGCTTATATATGACTTAGGGCATTTCCAGACCTCTCATCTGAGTTGCACATGCGATGTCATGAGGATCGTAGTTGAAAGCTGTAATTCCGAGATGCCTTGTGACGTGATTTCTCCCAGCCGCTTTATTTATGCTGTATTTTTTCTACTTACTAGGACGCTATGGTTTTTGTCCCTACTTATCTTACATTCAGCTTAGGAAAAGGGAGGAACCGTTACCGTTTTATTGCTTTTAAAGAGAAACACGAGCTGCTCTCGACAACTCATTCATGAGGCTATGGCGCCCCGCATGAGCTCAGTCGGCATTTAACTCTGCGCGAAGTTTGGTCTCAAACAAGTGCTTCCCTATTCTGTAATTTCTTCGTGTCGTAACGAGGGTGTCTTTAACTAAAGTAGTTAGAAATAATATTTTAAGATGTGTTAATGTCAGATGCCGCGAAGTAAACCAAACTCCTGAACTCTGAAAATTTATCTAATTATTTTATTCGTCGTGTCGGTCGGTCGGTCGGGACTTTAATTTTTGCCTCGAGCAAAATATGGATAACACGGAGTATGATACGATTTGATGAATTGCCGGAATTCGTTTTAATTTAGATGTTTCCGTAACAATATGAGTCAATTTGAATATCAAAAAAATTGTTTGATTTCTAAGCAGACCTGAATCAACCTTCCCACATCTTTGTATATACGGGCAAAAAGAAAGTTGGCAGCGCACAGCTAACGCATCTTTCGTTCTTCACGTTTGTGGAAGCATTTATCCGTCTTCAGATTTGAGGTAGAACCATGAGAATTGTCCAGAAAATCAAAGCAAGAGTAACCGGGTTCATTACATTGCACGCGTATGATATATTACTGCTAAGCCTCATCGATGGTGATCTATGTGACGTGTTACAACTAGCATCGTTCTTGTTAAACCTCAAAATCTACTTAATGTTGACCGTGTCATATAAGTAAACTATTAATTACAGACTCACAATTGTTTCATTGATATCAAGATGTTTCCAGCATTTCATCTAAACCAATGATATCGTTCGAAAGTTGGATTATTCACTGTAATATTTATCGAATTTAACTCGTCATTGTTCACTGGGTGCAATGCAAAGCAAGAGTTAAGTATTATCCGTGTACTTGGTTAAACATATGTACAACTTACACACCAAGCTGTACAATTGTACATAAGTTCGATGAATAATCAACACAATTTTTGCTTGATTAGTCACAAGATATAAGCTATCGCGGATCTCAATATATAGCTTAAAAATATAAATAAAATGAAGTACGTGAGAGGCCAATATATCATATTTTCTAAAACTGTAACCTACGAGTTAAGATTACGAAACGGCAATGCGGGTTCAACAGTAACGCTATTGCAAGAGTTAAAACCTATTCTATAAGTGTACTTTACTGTTAAAAATGACTTCCGAATCCATGCCTGGAAAACTCAATTACAAGGCATACTGTTCATGATCCTAGATTTTCAAACTTCGAGAAACACTGAAAATTAATCAAGTACATCGATACCGAGGGCACAACCATTACATCTGGAGTAAAAAAATCTATATATCCGGGCGAAGCTTCACGAGCAATGTTATGCCACGTGCAGCAAGATGCTGAAAAGACAAGGAAAAATGCAAGAGCTAGGTTTCTAATCTGCGTTCTGACAAGAACGCATAGCCGCATAGGTAAGTAAAAGGGACGAAAAGTTTGCAAGCCATACAAAAGCGATCATCTAATGACGTAAGAAAAATATCACTTAAACGAGAGATTACTACAATATATTGGACGATGAACTCTTAATTTCTTAATACTACGAGCAGAATCTTCTAAGGTGTAATTCGTTGAGTTAACAGCGATCAATTCATTATGCGGTCTTAGGTGATCGAACACGAAATTGCGTGGCAGCATAGGCCGAGTATAGAAAACGCCTTAAAATTTACACAATGAGAGAAGCAGTCTTATAAATAACCACCAGGTAATCTCGACACTTCTTTTCGATGCAGAAACGTGACCGAACGAAGCGACCAAATGTAGGTAGGTGATCACAATGGGTCATTTCAAAAAAAAATTTTCAAGTGTTGTATATGGTACGAAAATATCTCAACTGGACGAAAAACTTCATCTGAGGAAGTGATGTCAGTCGATGCTTTACAAAATTCAACTGTTCTTAGTATTGCCATATTAGGCGATGCCATATTTATCGACTCAGTATTGCCAGATTTATCGACGATGTCTCACAGGAGTACAACAGATGTGAGTTATACTTCACATAACAGAGGCTCGGTGACAAATGAGGGAGGGTGCGAAAAACCACGCATCTATGAAAGTACGAACACTATAAAAACAGCGAGAAAATCAAGATATTTTCCAGCCTAGATCAGCAAATGCGTAAAGGTCATCTAAGAGAAAGCTACACTATAAAGGTTACAATACAGGCTACACAGCTATTAGTTCTAAATGGCCGGAGTGAAGAAGACACTTTATTTCAGGAGCGAAGGATGAGGAACGCCAAGATTAAAACATATAATATAGGTAAGGCGCCGTGCAGGCAAAACATTCGTTGTAGTTGATATTTCGTACGTGAGCAGCAGCGTAGTGAGTGAGCGGCGACGCTTGTGATGATCAAGAGTGACCGACCATTACATTAATATTTGAGTTTGTGCCACTACATGAAAATCACAAAATGATTAGAGCATGAAGAAGCACAAAGTATCTAAATAAGTTGCTTCAATCACTAAAATAAGTTTTGATAAATTTTCATTCAAAAAATTAACTAAAAAGTTAAAATCCAATACACGTCAAAATTCTATTGACGGTGACGGTTTTAAAAAAATACTATGGGACACAATAATCCAATTTTGGTGTAAAGTAAACCTTATAGGATTAAGAGCATTCCAGAATAAAGCAATTAAGGAGGAGAGACAAAATTTGCTACAGGAAAAGCATGAGTGAATATATGACAGAAACGTGAAGATGAACAAATCTAAGAAGTTGAACGCTAATGCGGCTATCACAGACACGGCATTGCACTACAGCTATTGCCCGCCAAAGCATTTGACAGGCTCAACAAGGACAGATTGGGTAACAACACGCGGCAAATGTGATTGTCAGAGCACTTATAAATATGCTATTGTCCATGGTATCCCATAGAGAAACAAGATCAGTTATTCTGCATCCGAAAAGCTAAACTACATTCTATCCTGCTGAGATTATGGACGCAACTATTGCCTGAAAGTCTTTAGACTTACAAAAAAGATAACAATGATCACCGCATAGAAAAGACTTCAATAAGAAAAAAGAAAGAAAACTATTCAAAACTGTCTTGAAAAAAGAAAAGTTGGATTGTCAGGTCGAAAAGTATAGATCGAGTTTCTAAAAAATGTGACGTCTTACAACTACGCTAAAATAATTGTTCCACTCAGCAAAAATTGCCGAGAATTCATAACGAGACAAAAATGTCCGCTGATTTTGTCAAGGACATAAATTAAGCATTGTTTAGTTTAAGCAAATAGAACGAAGCCATACAACGTACTAGGTACAGAACATGATAAGAAATACGGCAAATCACTGATTTCTCTAAAAAATTTTACTAAGAGATTGGGTGAACAGCGAAGATTTCACCCGTCCACACGGAAATAAGAACATATGCGACCCTGAGATTACAAGAAAAAGTTAACTTGAGTCCTTAGAGTTATCACCATCAGGAAAATAGACCTTAGTGATAACGATATCCCCAGTGCTGAGGGTCTGGCAGTGCGAGTCCACCTTCCCCCCTTTCCGCGGGGAGTAATTGTGAAGCGAGTGTGACGGGCTCATGGCAGGAGAGTAGACCGGTGACGTGACAACGGACCGTGACACAGTCGAGTGACAATTGCAGCTGCAGCATCGTTGTGCCGACGATGAACAGTCCCTGTCATTAATAATTAAATCCCCATACGTCGAAGGTGGTACTGGCGAGGCAGCGGCACTAGGCCCCCGGAGTTGGAGGCCGCAGTCGCCCCCAGGGTCACTGTCCAAAGTCGCAGCCGACAAGATGGACTCCAAACGGCCGATTTTTTCGAGTCTGTCCATCGTCTGGTCATTAAGCACGTGTTCGACCATCACCATGCTGTCCGTCAGTGACGTCGGTTCCTGTAGCGAGAAACTGAACGTTACAAAGAGTCAAGAAGAACACGTGAAATCTGAACAGCACGAAATACTTTCCAGAAATCACTTGGGCATTCAATGAGATAGATTGCTGTCGAGTATTATATTATTATTCATACGTAGTTTAGATGCACGTACCAGCGTCTTGAGAGAAAAAATAAATGTCCCACAATCTACCTTCTTTGGCGACCCAGCTTCTTACGACTGTGATTCATTTCGTTGTTTACAAAATCATTTGCGGAAAAACATTCGCAAGCAACAAGAGAGCAACGCGATATTTTCAGAACTCTACACTTCGAGCCATAGGAGTTTTCCAATAATTATAATCAAAACCTTGCAAATACATGAAAGAAGGTATTAGATGATCAGGAGAAGCACATTAATAACTTAACTTACAATTAGAAGTAACATCGATTCACACGTTTTTCGGTCAGAGTAAAAGCAGAATTTACGCGATGACTAGACGCATTTACCTCAAACGTTTAATCAAAAATAAAAGAATTCATTAAGAAAAAATAAAATAAGTCATGGGATTGAGGAACCTGAGCGGAATTACTTTCATTCTCATTCATTCATTTAGCTATAAATTTGATTTTCTAAATTGTTAAGGAAAAATAGCGCGAAAATTCCACATCAATCTAAATTATCTAAATAGATCTGGTCAAAAGGCCAGTTCTCAGATCTGTAAGAGACAAGTTAAGAACATTGTAAGAATCGGCGACAGGCCAATTCGACCTATTCCTCAGCGTCGATATTGCTAAGCTATTCTTATTCAGTTATGAATTAGGTTATATAAATTGTTGTTAAATGATGAAAAGTGAAAGCGTTGTACCTGCTTGAGGGGCTCAGAGAGGGAAGGAGGTTCAGAGCGCGGAGAGAAGACTCCGCCTGAACCACTTGAGCCTCCCGACCCGAGACTGCTGATGCTGGGGAACTCCGTGTCGTCCTCGTCCTCTTTGTCGGGAGAGTTGTCCCTGTGGAGAACATATAATGTAGCAGGCATTAGCACGGGACCCGAGGGCGGGGTGACCTGCCTAGCGACGACTCGGAGACGTAGGACGACGAGACGACGAAGGTAGCGCATCACCGTGACCGGGGACTAGGAAGTCCCAATCTCATCATAAGGTAAGGTCATTAACATCCTAGTTTAAATAAACCTAAAAAATTCAGCACATTCAAATGAAACATATGTTTTGGATTCATATTCTAAACTAGACATAGAAACTAATAAAGTAAAAACTGGACACAATGCACAAACAAATTGGTCATTTATCCTTCGAGAACCATGAGAAAACGTTCGATCCTCATAAATTTTGTTGAGCTAAAGTGTGTATCTGACGCTCGTGTAAAATTGATGCTAAAATTAAATTAATGCTAAAGTGTGTATCTGACATCGAAAGAAGTGGTCGGTATTTGAAATAGTGATGATAAGAAAAATTCCAACGCATGAAATTTATTCCAGGGAAAAAATCGCCAAGGAAATAATTGATCAAGGTAACAATGAATTACATATTGTTAAAAATCACAGAATTCATGAACCGTAGTATAAGATATTAAATTCACCATTCCACAGCAAAAACAGAGAAGAAGTAAAAGAGAGCTGGGAGTTTATTCGAAAGTAACGGCCTCAAAATACTCCTCTTTCATAGAGATGCATGTGCAATTTTGTCGTCTGTATAGATCTGTAATCTGCGCTCCTCCCGAATAGATAAAGAAAACACGATAATAATAAACAACCTGAGGTTGTTGCTGTCCTTGTTTTGGAGACGTTCGAGTTTCTTGACGACTTTAGACGAGCCCTCCAATTTTTCCCTCTCCTCATCACTGAGCTCTAGATACCTGAAAAAGAATTATAAAAATATTCTATTCCTTAATATTTATTATTATATATAATTATATTGCATTCCTTAGAAGGTCTAGTATAAATTAGCATCGAGAAAATAAATTCGATTCATTTTTAAGCATTTTGCGAATAAACATTATCATTTCCTACTCAATATCCTGCAAAGAAACAATGTACCTGAGTAGCCTGATCTCCCTGTTGGAAAGTACGATGCTCTTGGCCTGCGTGTTGGCAAGGCGTGTCTTGAGTTCCTCTATTTCGGTTTCCATTTTCCTACGACGCTTCGTCTCCTTCACCTCCTCCGGCCAGATGGTCCAGAAGACCTGCTCCTCGCACAGCTCAGCGAACAGCTCAATCAGATTCGGCTCCAGACGTCTGCAAAAAATGAATTCTGAATGAATTTCGTTGTCTAAATGAATTTTGAGAGGCACAAAATTGCCTGATGGGGAAACATGAGCACTGAAAATTACTCGAAGAATCGGAATTATTTTACACAGAGTTCTGGGACAGAATTGTTATTGTAATAAAAATACAGCGTGAAACAAGACTCGAGAAAGTCGTGATAAGCTCCAGTTGCTTGAAAGTTTCCAGAACAGAAACTAAATTAAACTCTCGAGCATGAGTTTCCACACTCAATAACTATTTATATGAAGGCGAAAATAATATATGTTATACATCGTTGTGCAATTAAAGCTTTATTAAAGTGTCAACAGATTGAACGGTTCTGCGTTTTATAGTCATAAATGGAGTAATAATTTCTACAAATCTGGAATGACCGATGTTCGGATATATATTTTGTGGTCAAAATATATACTCTNTCGTACGCTGCGTATAAGATCATTTCTTGCGTCAGTGGCCGGCGGGACCAGAAGCGCTGGTCACGGCGGTAGATCTTCTTCATCTGCAGGAAACATTCATTGTTTAACCATTAAAAATGAATGAAGAATTGTGAACAGTGCGTATAATTTAAATTATCAAACAGGATACACGGAGAGAGGACATGCATTATAGACGTTATATCTTATTGGTACCAACTTAGAGCCATGAATATGAGGTGAAGGTGGAAGGTTTTATTCTAATCCGTAGAAAACAATAAGTATGAAAAATATGTGTACATTCCCAAATAAAAAGGAGGCATACGTGAAGAAAAAAATTGGGTCCCGCGAAAAGAACTGGTTTTTGTATTTGTACTGCGGTAAATGACTGCATTAGCAAATTACCGGCAAAATAAGCCTGCTCAGGTGGCCATAAAAGAAGGTGAATATAATTTTCAACTCACCTGGTCCTTGCGAGGGTTGACGGGAGCGTTGTACAAGGAGCAAAGATGATTCAGGGAGATGCACTTCACCTTGAACACAGGCTTGCCAGTCTCCTGCATTTGCAAGATGGAATACGCCGCCTGCAATGCGCAAAATACATACAATAAAATCTAAATTAAAATATATTGAATGTGTTTAAACGTCTTCAGCATTAAAGTACAAAAATTTAGAAGACAGAATTTATTTATAATTTGCCGTCTGCTTTATTTTGCCTGAAATTTAGTACTGTAAACGTAGATACGGTATACGTATACACTGCGAGAAGAAAAATTCACGGCTAAGAGTTCTCTGAAATAGAAGCCCGTTTGCGCACGTTCACTTTTAACATATTAGACGGTGTATATATGATCATTTAAAAATTTTACTTATACCTTAGTGTTTTGACTGGAATTGGACAAATGGTTAAGCTGAATATCAAATTCAACACCAGTATTACTCCAAAATGTTCGACGCACTAACAATTACGTACGAGAATAACCTCTTCTCGTATTAATGAAGTAAATGTATATAAATAATAAAGGATGAATGATGAATTTTATAGTTTTTAGCAACAGCTCTCACCTGAGTATCGAAGACGTTGGCGAGAGTAACACCGTGCTGGTTGTACAGAGCTCCCGCATCTCCACGACAATCATGGGTCACCTGCACATCATTAATAAAAGTTATTACAATGTAACTTCTTGTTACTACAATCAAATGTTACATCTAGAAATATAGAAGTACTCAACGTTGGCAAGCTAGTGGTGATACCGTCACAGGCGACACTTTATGCTTATATTGGCAAATTGAGTTTTAATTTTGTTTAATTTCTGGTATCTTGCGTCATTTTTTTGTCCCTGCGATGAATTCGTGTTAGTTGGACGCAGCACGCCTTACACCAGTTATTTGTGACAGGAATTTTCGCAGAAATGTAGAATGCTTCTTCGAAAAGGAAAAATAGGTTAAACACAACCTGCCGTTCTAGCTTAGCCTGTGATTGACTTGAGAAGACCTTTGATAAACAAAAATATAAATTCTATTTCGAGGTAGGTGTTGTTTTCGTAGCATGATGTCAGTATACCTATTACCTATGTAAGACCACCCAATTCAAATAGAGCTTATTAAAAAACACCCAGTAGAGCCTGCTTAAAAAGCGATGAATATTGAGGAAACAAATGGTCGCGATGAATAACGTCACAAATCTATGACGAAGCTTCAGCCGCGTGAAATCTGCCGACATGATGGTAGCTTCCGTGCGGACCGTAAGCCGCGGGCACAACCGCCTCCGGCCGCTCGCAGCAACTTGCAGGGGCTCTCTCAGGCTGACGACTTCTTCACATGATGTCGACACTCACTCGACAGAACACGGATGTTGCTATAAGTTATGCAGAAAGCAACAATAGGTTCAACACTGAATCACCGACTATAAAAATTATCAAATTGTAGACAAAGCACAATCACACAATACGCAAATTTCCATGTCAAGAAATACCTATTCCTTGTACATACACTGTTAGAAAAATTACCGTTAACGGTATTACCGGCGTCTCAGTGGCCGGTCGGCACGTAAAAAGGAACACCGTGTCGCCGTTTTTATTCAAATTTAACACTAGAAATCCGTAAAACGTCTGATAAAAACGGCGAAACAGTTTATTTTCACGGGGCGACCGGCCATTAGAACGCCAGTGTGACCGTTTTTTCACCGTTTTCTAATAGTGTAATTGGTCTTAATGAAGGTATAAACTCGAATGAGTGTGATGTCTTAAAGTAGCTTCCAGAAAGTAACTCAGTCTTGAGAAATAATGCATCAAAAGTGTGAGGTCAGACTTTATTTCGGAATTAGCCGTCTACTTAACTGTGCCTGAAATTTAGTACATGAGAAACAGGTAAATGCAAATTTAGGCAGTAGAAGTATTCACGACTCAACATTCTCTGAAACAGAAGTCAGTTTTAGCACGTTTACTTTCACACATTGGACAGTACCTACACATTGATCATGAAATGTGGATGCAGGAGAGTTCTAGTGAAGCCCGGAACAACGGGATAATGCATGTAAACCACAACTACACACATGATTTAGCGTTAAGTGCTGATATTTCTAATGATTAATTATTACTTTACTATATTTATGGGATTATGAGAATGGAGGAAATAATACACCATTTTTAAGATCAGCATGGTAATAATAATAATAATAATACACTGTTTCTAAGGTCAGTAAACATGGAAGGACATGAGCAAATTCCAATAGTGTGGTTCCAAATTAATTAAAATATTAATTTTCTTAGATAAAAAGTGGCAAAGACGTCAATGTCCATCAAACAAGCATTAACAAATATTCTGGTCAATTCATCAGGTTGACGGCTCAACACTACAGCAAGGTATCCACAAAACAGGCCAAGCAGCTAACTAGAAAGTCCAACTCAGACACCCACGACATCCCGTTAGATGAGGTGTACACTGTACAGCATTCAAATTAATGGTAAGCCACACCGCGTCCAGAGGCCAGAAAGCTGAGCAGCAAGCAAGCCATATACTTTGACGTGATACTATCCATAGTTACCGACCCTAGGGGAACCTATTTTATTGCACGTAGTTCTACTGGGAGCCTTATTATTTCTAGCAACTAATTCTCAATAAAATAGGTTCCCCTGGAAATAACTGTCAGAACACTATATAAAAGATGTCGTTATTAAGACACAAGTAACACGTTACAAACATTACCTACAATATTATGCTGCATAAATTCAAGACTGATGTTTTACTAGACCTAGTGGCTTACATCTATTACGACGGTAAACAAACAATCCTTATTTTTATAGAAAAATCAAGATATTTATGCGCATCTTCTAAGCTACGTATTGTTCTAATAGTAAAGCAGGTAGTCCATTTATGTAAATATATATTCGCAAAAGGTGCGTAAGTACATGGGACAGGTTACATGCTGTTCTTGTCACCCCGTAATTAAAAAAAAGGAGAGTCCAACGCGAGGAAGAGCATATGTTCCCAGACCGGATATTACAACTCGATAAAAAAATGTAGTATATTACAACTCGATGAAAGAAAAATTGTAGGATACTACAACTCGATGTAAAAAGTTGTAACAAATAAATGCAGAACAGTTTGCAAACGAACGTTTTCAAGCGACTTGACAGGGAGACCAGTTCAGTGCTTGATATCTAAACACACGAAACGTACGTCTCGAACAAGCGCTCAATCGATGTAAAAAATAAGAAGAATACGTACTAATTCATTAGAAACGACACAGACTCCATGAAAGGAAAATGCGTTGTAAATGTGTTTTAGCATAGGTAATGATCAGGGTTTAAAATCATGGTAAGATTGAACAAGTAAAGTAATATGGCAGCATCAAATTAATAGTATAAAGGAATTGAAACAAATTCTACTGCTTTTACTTTAATTAGGTCCGGTGAAATGAAGTAGGTAAGGACCAGACATCACCTGAATATACTAGCAACGCAAAGTAGTCGAGTATGACGAAAGCAGTTGTCGAGCAACATACGAATCGCTAACGGAAGAAAGCGTTGTAATTAAAGCAGCTTGCAGAAACAATGCACGACGCCTGTGAGGTGCAAGGTCATCTCAAAGTTCATGTCCGCGAGGAAAAACTTGTTAATTCTGAACGCGGACCAATAAACCGAGGATCAAGAACTTGTGAGATCCTAATATAATTTCTTTTCTATCAAAGGCCTGATTCAACGAAAAAATCTGGAAGACCTTAATTGCGTATTTCCCCACATAAAATTGCCCGACAATTAAATCAAATTAACGACCGAGTTGTAGACGTATTCGTGCGCACTCCATAGGACAGTCTGACCAGAAGCGCTACAGTCAAAGGACTCACGCTCGTTCCTGTTACCACAATAGGAGAATGCTAAGCGCCAGATAGAGAGCCAAGGATGGCAACACTGAAAGGCTCTTAGTGACAAATAACAAACAAGTCTCGGTGACGACACAGCGAGCGCGAGGCGGTAGACTTATATGTACAATAACAACAATGATGTCAAACGCAGATAAAAGTGGACAATCAATTATTACACAATTAATGGTAGAATTGTGACACAAAAAAGTCTAATCAGTAATCATTTAACTAAAATGTTCACATTGCCGTTGAGTAGGCTGAGGCAAAAACATGCTGTTGAAATTTCAATATTCTCACTGGGGCTGTTTAATACAACTTTAAATTGGTTTTAGTTTCACTCGTAAATATCTTTTCATTAATGAGCTTGTGCGGGGAAAGACACACAGCAGCTGTTAACCACAGCAGCTGCGGCAGCAAATTCCATCCACAATGACTTCGCCACCACCGCTGCTCCACTAACTTCCTTCCGGCCACTTCTCCTGCCGCCATATTTAACACAAAATGCACGCATGAAAGGTTAGACAGAACGGAATAATTCATGAAATTTGGCTAACTCTAATTCAGATTAAAAGGTATATTTTTCTAATCATACGACGAAAATTTAACATAACAAATCTCACATAAAAACTTGTTAATTTCTCTATAAACAGAGGTTGAAAACCGACTGATATAATTTCTGAGACAATGAGCAATTTAATGACAATAGTTCAGGGTTTAAACGAAAATAACTATCAGAAAAATGCATTACCGTTAAATGGAAAATGCAAACCATAATCTAGACGGAACGGCAGACGTAGGCTCTGCAGATACAGATGTATAAAGTGACTCTGCCATGACTTTGAACTGTTTTATGTGAATTCTGATTTAGCCGCGGTAAATACCGACACTGACACTAAATACAAAAAAGTCTCGGTAGATACGGATACTCGCTCTGTAGATACAGATGTAGCCTAAATGAATGCATTCATTCTCGCAGTAAATTCAGACGAAGTCAGCGAATACACACATAGGTTCAGTTAGTACAGACGTATAGCCACAGATAAATACGTACGTAGACTGTGTTGACACTGACATGCTCTGTAAAAATAGACCTAGCCCCAAATTAATACATAAGCTTAGTGATGGAGACGCCAGTTCTTCGACACAGTCTATACGTTCTAAGAATACTAACATAGGCTGAGAGGGTCTCCACTATACAGCAGAAAAAACTGGAGCACGGCTGTACATGGCAGCCGGACACTCCGTGAAGGCTGTGAGAAATTCCAGCACGATCAAATTTTAACGCCGCAAGCAATCAGCACACGACAGAATAATAGGGGCAATTGCAGGAACACAGAAAATGAAACTTCAGACTGGAGTCGACTTGTAAACATAGTACATCAATGTATGAATCATTTGACGCATTTTAAATACTACCGGAAGGAATAACATAACACACGAAAGACATCATGCATATGGGAAAAATCAGTTGATAGATTAATATAAACAAGATTTCAAGAAGACTAAATCACACCTGCAGTTTTAGACTTGATTGCAGGCAAAACGAACCGATTAAAATGAAGCATACGATATTTATGCTTATTACCTACGTAACAAATACGTGCATCTACACGAGAGGTGATGACTTGAAAGATGAGTTTGGCAGCAGTGCAGCGTACGAGCCACATAGAGAGCAGAACATGCGTCGAGTTTACAGGTCGAATATATGAAGCCTATCTCAATTTATTTCGGGGCACGAATGTGTAGAGCAGAGCCATCGACCGTCAGCCAGGATCTGTTT